GTCATTCCCAAAATACTATGGTAGACATTGGAAAGGTACATTTTTCTTACGTCAAAGCTTTTCAATCTAGGTTTCACAATCAAAGGTCTGGTCGAGTCATTCCCAAACTACTATGGTAGACATTGGAAAGGTACATTTTTCTTACGCCAAAACTTTTCAATCAAGGTTTCATAATGAAAGGCCTGGTCGAGTCATTCCCAAAATACTATGGTAGACATTCAGATGAAGTTACTAAATATGATGCTATCCCATATTATGACCTTTGAGGGGAGTTTTTAGACCTCCATATTGGCACTAACCTTAATGGACCGGGTGGTCGAGGTTGGTCACTTGGTTGACAGCCTGGCGTCGAAAACCAATTTTGGGTTTGTTGTTTAACGCCGCATTCAGCAATATTCCAGTTTTATGTGACGGAGGTCTGTAAATAATCGAGTCTAGATCAGACAATCCAGTGATTGACATCATGAGCATCGATCCACGCAATTGGGATACGATGACATGCATCAACCAAGTCAGCGAGCCTGATCACCCGATCCCGTAAGTCGCCTCTTACGACTAACACAGTCGCCTTTTTGGCAAGCATGGGTTCCTGAAGACCTATTCTACCCTGCCGCGTCGAAAACCGACGATGTGGATCATTGTTCATGATACTGATCACTGTATTGTCTGGTCCAGACATGGATTGTTTACAGGCCGGCGTCGTATAGCATAAGTATTGCCGTGTGTGATGGACAACAACAAAAAACATTACCTTTTTTGCGAAAGTTGTGAGTGGCGGAGGCTATCAGTAGAACACTATTTTGCTTCTCATGCCCTGTGAAATCTGATTCGGCAGATAGTCTTGTTGACATTTTGACATAGCATGACTACATGGAGTTCTGGTGTATCGTTTTTAACGATGTAAAGGTGTTAGATGTCACGAAAAAAAAACCGAAGTAGCGTGTATTTGTATCAGTGACTAGGGTCCGTTCTACAAAGTGATCGTAGCGATGAGGTGATCTTAACTCCCATACGTAACATAGACTTACGACTGTCATGGTGCTACGCTCGCTTTGGGGAACCGGGTCCTGTACATGTACATACCTTCAATTCCGCAGCTAAAGTCACACATGACACCAAAGGGGTGTTTTTGGAACAACAGTGAAAATCAAGTGTGTTGTCCTCTAAAATTAACGAAAACTATACGATAATCTGCTTCGAAACTACTAAGCCAAGAATTAAAGAAAAAATTGAAAAAGTTTTTTATAGATAGCAGCAGCCTCGTTCAAAGCTCCTTTGTCAGTATAGTACAATAATGCCTCAGTTAGATTGAAACAGTTTATAGGTGGGGTAGCTGAGTGGTTAAAGCGTTCGCTCTTCACCCCAAAGGCTCGGGTCTGACTTCCCATATTGGCACAATTTGTTAGCCCATCCATGGTGAAATATTGCTAAAGGTGAGGTACATTATACTCACTCACCCACTTTACTTTGAGCTCATGTTTCTATAAATCATCCAATTATTAACATCAACATCACTTTACTTAGATACCAGACGGCCCGAAAAGGGGGGTGGGGGTGGGGGGTGGGTGGGGTTTGGAGGTGGAGGTGGAGGGGTGTCTTTTGCTAAGGCTACAAAATTAGGTGACCATTGGTTTGCCTAGTCCACATACAGGCTGCCCTGATACAGCTGACATGGGCGTATGTTGTATATGTGGTGTGCAGTGTGTCGTGTATGTGGTGTGCAGTGTGTCGTGTATGTGGTGTGCGGTGTGTCGTATATGTGGTGTGAAGTGTGTCGTGTATGTGGTGTGCAGTGTGTCGCATATGTGGTGTGCAGTGTGTCGTGTATGTAGTGTGCGGTGTGTCGTGTATGTGGTGTGTCGTGTGTCGTATATGTGGTGTGCAGCGTGTCGTGTATGTGGTGTGCAGTGTGTCGTGTATGTGGTGTGCAGTGTGTCGTATATGTGGTGTGCAGTGTGTCGTGTATGTGGTGTGCAGTGTGTCATGTATGTGGTGTGCAGTGTGTCGTATATGTGGTGTGTAGTGTGTCGTATATGTGGTGTGCAGTGTGTCGTGTATGTGGTGTGCAGTGTGTCGTATATGTGGTGTGCAGTGTGTCATGTATGTGGTGTGCAGTGTGTCATGTATGTGGTGTGCAGTGTGTCGTATATGTGGTGTGTAGTGTGTCGTATATGTGGTGTGCAGTGTGTCGTGTATGTGGTGTGCAGTTTGTCGTATATGTGGTGTGCAGTGTGTCGTATATGTGGTGTGCAGTGTGTCGTATATGTGGTGTGCAGTGTGTCATGTATGTGGTGTGTAGTGTGTCGTATATGTGGTGTGCAGTGTGTCGTATATGTGGTGTGCAGTGTGTCGTATATGTGGTGTGCAGTGTGTCATGTATGTGGTGTGTAGTGTGTCGTATATGTGGTGTGTAGTGTGTCGTATAAGTGGTGTACAGTGTGTCGTATATGTGGTGTGCAGTGTGTCGTATATGTGGTGTACAGTGTGTCGTATATGTGGTGTGCAATGTGTCGTATATGTGGTGTGCAGTGTGTCGTATATGTGGTGTGCAGTGTGTCGTATATGTGGTGTGCAGTGTGTCGTATATGTGGTGTGTAGTGTGTCGTATAAGTGGTGTACAGCCTGTCGTATATGTGGTGTGCAGTGTGTCGTATATGTGGTGTGCAGTGTGTCGTATATGTGTTGTGTAGTGTGTCGTGTATGTGGTGTGCAGTGTGTCGTATATCTGGTATGTAGTGTGTCGTGTATGTGGTGTGCAGTGTGTCGTATATGTGGTGTGTAGTGTGTCGTGTATGTGGTGTGCAGTGTGTCGTATATGTGGTGTGCAGTGTGTCGTATATGTGCTGTGCACCTTGTCGTACATGTGGTGTATGTGTTATGTAGTACGTCCTGTATATGGGGTTATGCAGTGTGTCGTTTATTTTGAAAATGTGGTAGGCAGTACATCGTACATGTTGTCTGCATCACGTGGTGAATATGGTATGCAACACATCGCGTATGGTATGCTGCACTTCGCACAAGTGATATTCGGGATATGTGGTATGCAGAAAACTGTAAAACGGGGTATGTGGTGTGACAAACTGTGTTCTATTTATTTGGAGCCATGTGACGTCAACAACTTGGTTGTATACTGGAATACTGTTACCGTTAGGGGCCCTATCATCCTGGTGCGCGCTGTGATTTCAAAATATATTTTGTTCCAGAAAAAGAAGTGTTTGTTTCCTCCTTTCAAACAACAAAACAGTATGTTTTTAAGTAGTGACCGATAAACATTATATCTAACAAAACTCCCAGCACCACACCACCACCATACTCCCCTAAACTGTCGCTAATGTACATAATGTATGCAGTTTATCCTTGGCGTTGAGTATTTCCTACTTTACTTTGCAGGTCGTGCTCCACATATGCCTGTGCCCAGGACATGCCTCTGCAGGTAACTATTGGCCTTGTAACCACAGGAACATGTGGACTTTTTCGAGTACAGTAAACTACGGTTATAACGAACTCAAATGGAGCATTACTTCTAGTTCGTTATAACCGTAGTTCGTTATAATCGCTTACACGGCATCTATACAGCAAATGGCCGGAACCAAAAATAACCAGTTCGTTACATCCGTCAGTTCGCTATATGCGTGTTCGTTATAAACGTAGTTTACTGTATATACTTAAATCATGTATTATATTCATGTAACGTATACTCTCAGACTGGCTCTCAAAGACATGAATTAAGCAACAAAATTATGTAACACATGGAATGACAATCAAAACCGTCATGTTATCGAACAAGAACGTGACAAGCACAGTACGAGGGTTGATTGAGCCTCACATTGTATGAGCCGCCTCCGTGGTCTAGTGGTAGAGCGTCCGGCCGGAGAGCGGAAGGTCCGGGGTTCGATACCCGGCCGCGTCATACCAAAAGACGTTAAAAGATGGTACTTGTTGTTACCCTGTCTGGCGCTCGGCATTAAGGGGCTAAAACAAGGACTGGTCGGCTCGGAGTCAGTATACTGTGTCTGAGTGGGGTATTCATGTTAAACTGCGGCATGGTATCTCAGTGAACTAGCACTATAGATCGGCATCAGTCCGGACTAGTACAAGCAGCCACACAAACACACACACGTGCATGCACGTCGCTATGTAAGTGCAATAATCTTGGACGCGACGTTAAACCCAATTTCACCTCTCCTCACCTCACAGTGTATGACTGGACCTAAAGACATTATAATTATATATTTTTAACCTAATTCTCTTCCACACTGATACTGTTTGCAAACGATGTTGGAGGGGGTTTATCCCAGTTTCGTAAAAGTCCTCCTCTTGGTTGTCCAAAAGGTTCTATGACATAATGTAATGTTTTGTTTGATAGACTATTACTTAGAAGTTGAACTGAACATGTTCTTTTATAAAATAAACTGACAGGCAAAAGAAAATGTACGCTTGAAAATTGGATTTGACCAAACAATTACAAACGTTATCAAAATGTTGCTTGGCTGAAAACAGTTGCTAAACACTGTAAACTGAAGTTCCAAAACAGCTGCGATACCTATATCCAATACATCACCATCGAATAAACATTTTTGTTCATTTCATTTTAGCCACCATCAAACATGCGTGTATACAGTAAACTACGTTTATAACGAACATGCTTATAACGAACTGACGGGTATAACGAACTGGGTTTTTTTTTGTCCCGGCCATTTGCTGTATATATACCGTATAAGCGATAATAACGAACTACGGTTATAACGAACTGGAATTAATGCTCCATTTGAGTTCGTTATAAGCTTAGTTTACTGTACTTTCTTTTGCCCTGCTCTTTGTGTATGTCTTGTAGCAGTGACAGGTACATATTCTGCCTCTCACAAACATCCCAATCCCTGTTTGTCTCGTACGAAGGAAAACTCGAGCATCTCAGCACTTCCAGTCAATGATGTATATTTTTTCCGTCCTGTAAGACTTTTACCGACACCATTTCTTGAACTCGTCAGCTCCAAGCATGACCATGACGACCTTGACCTTGACTGAGGACGCGTACTCTTGGAACACGGGCTTGGAGGTGTGTGCGAAGGAATACGGAAGCCTTCTCAACATCATGGATGAAACCACACAGAACGCTTTAGTGCAGATGGACTCAGTGTTAGAGTTCCGGTAAGTGGGGAGAACGATGTTGATTACATGTTTTGGTAACATATAAAGGATATGTGTCGTATCCATGCAACTCTATGATCCATGAATGTAGGATTCACGTAGTACTAGAATACTTCTGGACACACTCACAGTAGCAAATCTTTGACCCCTGAATATAGTCATGGACCCTTGAATGTAGGATACAAGTAGAACTACAATGCATCTAGACACACCCACAACACCAACCCTTTGACCCCTGAATATCGTCATTGACCCTTGAATGTAGGATACAAGTAGCACTACAATGCATCGCGACACGTCCACAACAGCAACGCCTTGACCCCTGAATATAGTCATTGACCCTTGAATGTAGGATACAAGTAGCACTACAATTCATTTGAACACACCCACAATAGCAACCCTTGACCCGTGAATATTGTCATTGACCCTTGAATGTAGGATACAAGTAGCACTAAAATGCATCGCGACACGTCCACAACAGCAACGCTTTGACCCCTGAATATAGTCATTGACCCTTGAATGTAGGATACAAGTAGCACTACAATTCATTTGAACACACCAACAATAGCAACCCTTGACCCGTGAATATCGTCATTGACCCTTGAATGTAGGATACAAGTAGCACTACAATGCATCTTGACACACCCACAATAGCATCCCTTTGACCCCTGAATATCGTCATTGACCCTTGAATGTAGGATACAAGTAGCACTACAATGCATCTTGACACACCAACAATAGCAACGCTTTGACCCCTGAATATCGTCATTGACCCTTGAATGTAAGATAAACAAGCACTACAATACACACCCAAAAAGGGATTAATTGTTCCCTGATCACTGAATGTAAGATAAACTATGCACAATTACATTTACAAAAAAATCGTGCAAGTAGGCAATTTGTTCTGAAAGGTTATTACGAATAAAATCATTTTTCCTTTCTGAAACAGAAGCGATATGTGGATCGGCTTGCATGATCAGGGTCTTAAAGAGACAGATGATTACTATTGGTCGAATTGTCAACCACTGCAGTCTGATTGGATCAACTGGAACACAAAACCGTTATCAACAAACAATAAACTCTGTGTGCTATTGTCAGAAAAAGTGCTCACATGGCACACGGCAAGTTGCAAGAACAATCTACCTATCCTTTGTGCCAAATCTCAAGGTATGAGCGTCTCATGGTCCTTTATGTCTTATTCGTACATGATATCAAGTGAGCTGGATTTTACGCCGCTCTGAACAGTATTTGAGTTTTTGACATATAATAATACATAAATAAAGGGGCAAAAGAAAATATACCAAGTTTGTTTTTTACGTCATGGAAAATTGAAAGAACTGTTTTAAATTGAATTATGTCTGTTAAACCATCACTCATTTCTACAACAGTTTATAAAACAGTAATCTGTGAAACAATGAACCCCGTGTGCGACATACGCTCACAGCCGGAAAGCGCACGTAAAATCTCCAATATAAGTAAGTAAGTAAGTAACAATAAACTGATTCGATGAAGATTGAAAAGGTTAGAAATGAATTTCCACCACATGATCCCTACTATGTTTGAAATATTGTAAATTTGCGCCGAAATTTTTTTTTTTATTGATTTTCACAGATACGATGTCGAAGAAAACCCATGTGTATGATGTATGTAATGTGTATTATGGGATTTGATTTTAATTTATAGAAGTTTTAAACAAATTATAATAAAAATAATTAAACATGTGGAAGTAGTCTTTGATTGTTGACTAAGCGCCAGTACATTTCATTTTGGGGATATGATATCGCCAGCTTACGACATTTTCAACTGAAAATCAAACGTGACGAAATCAACTGAGGGGTATACTTTCTTTTGCTCCTTCGTGTATTATAAAAAGAATATTTTATCTCTGATATATCACGACTGGTGATCCTTATACACAGAAATTATTAATATTTGCCGTGCTAGAGAGAGTGTACATAAACAAGAAATGATTTTTCGATGGTGATGTATGTGATACAGGTACGATAGTTGTGTTTTGGACCTTACCTTTTCAGTGTTTCGGCGACTGTTTTCAGCCCAGTAACGTTTTTGGTCAAGTTCTTGGTCAAATCCAATTTTCAAGTGTATACTTTCGTTTCCCCGGCAGTTCACATTATTCAAGTACCAACCATCACTGTGGTATGGAAGAGTATATGTGCCACAATTATGTTACGCTATATGCTTCTTTCATAGTTCAATATATATCATTCAGTCTGCCGTTATGGAACAAGGTACATTATAATATGATTATATTTTGCATTGACCAACATTTAAAACTACATGGTACAGAATAAACATGGTAGGTGGAGGATTAACAGTAACAACAAATGCATATATGAGAGAGATTAACATTAGTAGTTTAACTAATAACAACAGTCCATCATGTTGTTACCGTATTATCCTTCTGTTGTTATTATTATTTAATCTACTCATGTTAATCTCTCTCATTTTTTATCCCATCCGCCTACTATGAACTCATCAAGCAATAATCACTTATCCTGTTTAATTGGCTTCATGTCCCATTGGCTTCCACCTATGTGTTCTCTGACCATCATGTTGTGATAGTATAATCCCTTTGTTGTCAACACTTGTACCTATGTTATCCCACTCATGTGTGCAATTGTTGTTACTGTTAATCCTCCACCTACTATATATATTCTGTACCAAGTTCATTATTCAGTGAGTGAGTGAGTGAGTTTGGTTTTACGCCGCTTTTGTCGGGAATCAAACCCGGGTCTCCGGCGAGACGAGCGAACGCTTGAACCACTAGGCTACCCGACCGCCCCGTTCATTATACTGTCTTGCATGACAACGGTATAATGATCTATACCGAAACGTCGCCATTACAGTAAATTAAACAAGTTGTTATCCATAAATGTTTGACATCTTGCAGTTTGCCTACCTTAAGGTCCTACTATGAACGATCGGATTAGGACTTGCCTGTTTGAGGGTCATAATGTACAGAATTAGGGCAGAACGGTGCTCACGCTATCAACCACTGACATGTACTCAACTGTAATACACTGACCTGACCGAACCGCTCTGATTACTTTATCATATAGGTAATTGCACGTACGAATTGAAAGAAGAACAGACATGCAGTTTGGACGTTCCCAGCAGGGACGTGGTGGCCGAAAGTAGAAGAGACTGTGAGGATCGATGTGATATAGAAGTAGATGGCAGCAATGTGTGTTGGGCGTATAAATTCCACGACGAGAGGTGCGAATTGAAATTTGGTTCAAATCCCTATTTTTGCGACAACGACATCGTATCTCAGAAAGACCATACATTTGGATTACGAAGATGTTTCAACTGTAAGTTTTTTTCTTATTATGTCATGTGATGCAGGTCTTAGGCTTTTACCACTTTGGTGAATTCCACCGGCACGGGTATGGTGCACACTGGGATTCGATCCTGGCTGGACAAAGGGGCGTAACTCTACACCGCGATGTTGTGACTCCACCGTGATTCGGTCGGTCATGAAACTGCCCAGTCACTGGTTATCTTGGAGCAACTTGCATGTGGGGGTTATGTTAAATCGGTTCTTTCCATTATATCAGCTCCGTAGTTTTGTTCATCATGTATATTAATGTAAACCTGTACAAGCTTTTATTCTCTTTCAGTTAGAAAAGTGAAAGTGGACAATTTTGAAAAAAACGACGCCGATGTTCCTTTGCTCACGTGTCCAGAATGGACAGCAGCAGCAGCTGCTGCTCCTACATCTACTACGTCTTTAGACAGTGGCACCAGCGCAACTTTCACTACCACTCCTGGCACACGCACTAAAGTCAGTCCAACTTCTGACACAAGCACTAAAGTCAGTTCCACTCCTAGCACAATCACTACAATCAGTTCCACTCCTAGCACAATCACTACAATCAGTTCCACTGCTGGCACACGCACCAATGTGACTTCAACACCTCACACTAGCACTACAGTCAGTTCCATTCCTGACACTAGCACTACAGTCAGTTCCACTTCTGGCACAATCACTACAATCAGTCCCACTTCTGGCACTAGCACTACAGCCAGTTCCACTTCTGGCACAATCACTACAGTCAGTCCCACTTCTGGCACTAGCACAATAGTCAGTTCCACTTCTGGCACAATCACTACAGTCAGTCCCACTTCTGGCACTAGCACAATAGTCAGTTCTACTTCTGGCACAATCACTACAATCAGTCCCACTTCTGGCACTAGCACTGTGGACAGAACAGTTTCTGGCGCGCCAAACATTGCTGCCGGAACCAGTACCGCATCCCCATCTACCCGATCAACATCTCCCCACACTTCCTCCTCCAGGTCCAAGACTGCTACGACCACGACAACTGTTCTTACTGCATCTCCAGCTGCTCCAAAAGAAAATGGTACGATTAGTTTTGCGTTATTCGTGTTAAAATATGTCTGGCGAAATGCTGACCGACCTTTTGATATGCAGTGGGTGAGTGAGTGAGTGCGTGGGTATTGCTTTACGCCATCTTTAGCCATATTTCAGCACTATCACGGTGGGGGACACCAGAAGTGGGCTTTACGCATGTTGCTAAAAGCGGCGAAAAAACATCAGCATGTGTACAATGTGTGAAGCCCATTTCTCATGTCTTCCTGCCTTAAAAATTGTTATGGCTGGATCATTGCGAATACCGACATAGAAGACCTACTCATTAAGTCCTATTACAAGGAGTATATTTTATATGAAGTCCGTCCATGATGGGATTAACTTGATGGATGCATACCGTGGAGCATAGCGAGGCATAGAATAGGTGAAGTGAAATGTGTGTGTCAGTGTGGGTGTGTCAGTGTGTGTGTGTGTCAGTGGGTGGGAGCGTGTGTGTGTGTGCCAGGGGGGATGGTAGTGGGGGTCGTGGGCGTGTCAGTGTGTGTGTCAATGGGTGGGAGCGTGGGTGTGGGTGTGTCAATGTGTCAGTGTGTGTGTGTGTGTGTGTGTGTGTGTGTGTGTGTCTGTCTGTCTGTCTGTCTGTCTCTGCCTGTCTGTCTGTCTCTGTGTGTGTGGCTGTGTGGCTGCTTGTGCTAGTCCGACTGCTGCCGATTTATAGTGCTAGCTCACTGAGATACCATGCCTCAGTTTAACATGAATACCCCACTCATACACATTAATTTACTCCGAGCTGACCAATCCTTGTTTTAGCCACTTAATGCCGAGCGTCTTTTAACGTGTCTTGGTATGACGTGGTCGGAGATCGAATCCCAGACCTTCCGCTCTCCGTGCGGACGCTCTACCACTAGACCACGGAGATTAGGTTCAAAAGAGGCCTCGTTGTACAAATAGAAACCTGAATAACAATCAATGTTCATATTTGATGATTTGCATTCGGAAGACGTGTTCCTGCTAGTATGTGCTACTTCATGACGAGCCTAATAGGACAGTGACAGGCAATTAGGTTCACGTTCCGTTAAGGATATGCTGTGATGTCAAAGATAATTAATTAACGTTTTCGACCCGTGAAAATCCGGGGTAGAATAGGTCTTCAGCAACCCATCCTTCCTGTGAAAGGCGACTATGCTTTTCGTAAGAGGCGACTTACGGAATCGCTGACTTGGTTGATGCATGTCATCGTATCCCAATTTCGTGGATCGATGCTCATGATGTCAATCACTGGATTGTCTGGTCCAGGCTCAATTATTTACAGACCGCCGTAATATAGCAGGACTATTGCTGAATGCGGGGTTAAACAACAAACAAACAAGTTAATTTTTCAAATTCAATAACCTCTGTCGTCTGTTTTAGTGACGTCACATGCGAACGTCGTATGCGGCTGCCTGTGTCTCTACGTTAACAATACCGGAAGTCTACGATCTTTTGACGACCTTCTTCAAAGCCTTCTCTTGGACAAACGCAGCCTCTCGGCGTTTCGTCGCAAACATGAGAGCTCTGACGATGATCGCCCCTCAGCCCGGTCCCTGGGGATGTCGGGGGTCACCCTCCTGCTTCTCCTCGTGCTCGTCTTCCTGGTGGCGGATCTCTCCAAGGTGTTCATGAGTCGAGAACATGACGAACAAATGTAAACGGAGCATGGAAATTTCCCCTTCGCGGTAGTGAGGGCGATCGTACCGGATGTCATACATCATAAACTTTAGCATGGACAGGCGTGCCGCTGGGTCGAAGCCTAGAAGTGTTGTAATGTGTGTGTGTACTCTGTGTGTGTGTGTGTGTGTGTGTGTGTGTGTGTGTGTGTGTGTGTGTGTGTGTACTCCTATCAGTCGTCAATGTGAGTGAAAACAGATGAACCCGTAGCGGTTCCAAAAGAAACGTAAGCGAGACATTTCAGTGGGGTTTACGGATTTTATGACTGAAAATTTAGTGTGAACCTATTTTTTACTTGGACAATTCTAAACTTGAAAGGTGGTGCATTTCAGTATATGTCAAATATTTTGAGATTTTTTTTCTTTTGAATCGGTTTTTTTCAATCGGCGGAATAAGAAACCCTTACAATAGTGATAATTCATTTATCCACAATGTCCATGTTTAAGGCCTTCACAGCGTCACATATTGACCATGGGCGGTCGGGTAGCCTAGTGGTTATAAAGCGTTCGCTCGTCACGCCTTAGACCCGGGTTCGATTCCCGACATGGGTACAATATGTGAAGCCCATTTCTGGTGTCCCCGCCGTGATATTGCTGGAATATTGCTAAAAGCGGCGTAAAACCTCACTCACTCACATGATGACCAGTGAGGGATTCCCAGAATGTATAAGTGGGGCTTTTCTTATTAACATTCGAAATGTATTGGTATCAGTTTCTTGTGAAGTTCCCGTTGGGATTCCGGTGTAGAAACAACATTCACCCATATCCTTATAAGGGACAGTAACGACCCTAAAAATCCCCGTAATGCCTTCATCGATGCCTCAGAACAGGTATCATTCAGTGTCAAAGATATCCGTTGGTGCTTTTTAACAATCAGTTTGAGGTCACAGACAATGAGGTGATATCGAGTGTTAACGTTGTTACAACCGATTGTGTTGCTTAAGCCTATCGATAAGTGTCGAGTGAAACTGTACTTGCCTTCACGCCTTCAAACACGCCATGACACTCAGCCTGGTTCCCTGGGTATGCTGCGCTGGCGCCACACTGAACCAGACTGGACATTGTGCAGTCATTGCCGGGGCCAGTGTAGCGCCAACGCAGCATACCCAGGGAACCAGGCTGCATGATACTTGGGTTCACTCGGCTTATTCCGTTAGCAGCGGTGGAGTAGTGATATTGCATGGATTCACTGTAAACCGTATTAGGCAGACGCCGCCGCGTATAGTTTGTAAAACTTGACCGTCGTTTTTGAAAGTTATTCTGCGCTTTAATAAGGCAAACACTTTGATTTCGAGACAACAAAACCAGAAACAGTTATATACGGCTCACGACTGTCGACAGGTTGTGGCACGTGATAGTCACGTGGACGAAACTATTTACAATATGGATTCCTGCCAGTGCTGGCCGAAGTCCTACTAGAGTGAGCTGAGCCGAGTCCCTTTAAGACATGCCAGGGGAGACAACTGTGGTTGTAACGCCAAACGTACATTACCTTTTAAATCCCTCTAACTGAATTACATGCTTTTCCCTTCATTCAAGAAGCAAACCGACGGAGATACCGCCCTGATGTTATATATGGCGATGTTGCGCTGCCGACCCCACTGCATAAATGATCCGGCGATCTTGAAATTAATTTAGTTATCTGTCTCCAATTTTGGATACAAGAAATATATCACCAAATTAAAACTAGTGATTCTAATTATATCATTGAAACTGTCGGTTCTGGTTGGTGACAAGATACTTACTTTTCTGGAAAACATTTTGTCTCGAACGAACTAATTTGTCATTATCGGATCGACTGACTGCAGGGGTAGCGCGGGAAAAAGTCTCCATTAATTCAAAAGTCTTCATCGTCTACTAGTAATTACTTTTCAAATTGTTTGTTTCTATTTTCTATTTGTCCTGATTGGTATTTTATGTCAATTTAACATTCTAAACTAAAAGTGTTACCATTATCTGTCACTTCATAAGAAATATAAGAAATATTCATAAAAACAGAATGAATATATGTCATAGCATAAATATCACGTAGGAATATGGATCAAAACAACAGCAAATATATTTTAATCACTGTATTTCATTTCAATATTAAAATATATCTTAATAATAATTATAAGCCATTGTCAGTGTGAAACTGAATTAGCAGTGAGATACCTACGTTATCAAGTCATACGTAAATGGTCCTCACCAACATTGGCTGAAATGACGTCAGAGACCAACCAATCATCATCTACTAGTAATTACTTTTCAAATTGTTTGTTTCTATTTTCGATTTGTCCTGATTAGTATTTTATGTCAATTTAACATTCTAAACTAAAAGTGTTATCCTATCTGTCACTTCATAAGAGGTGAAACACACTCATATTGAAATATTGTTAAAAACAGAATGTTTATACATGTATGTCATAGCATAAATATCACGTAGGAATATGGGTCAAAACAACAGCAAACATATTTTAATCACTGTATTTCATTTCAATATTAAAATATATCTTAATAATAATTATAAGCCATTGTCATTGTGAAACTGTGAATTAGCAGTGAGATACCTACGTTATCAAGTTATATGTAAATGATCCTTACCAACAACATTGGTTTAAATAACGTTAGGGACATTTGCGTTTCTGTGTGAATATCAACATAGTTGTATTTCCCTTTTATAGTTCTTGCTGTTAAATTATTTGGGATTTTTCATGCACATAATAGTAACGGAACATTTAGCTATAGAAGTAGTCATTAAAAAACGATTAAAAAATGGATGTATGATTGAAATAATCAATGTTTTATTCAAATAAGTGAGTGACTGAGTGAGTTAAAATTTAAGTCTCATCGGCAATATTTCATCCATATAGTGACTAGAATATATTATACATAAATATAAAACATGTCGACAATGGACAGCAAGTTTAATCAAATTAAAATAATTGTAAATAAATATGGCACCATGTTTACATGCATAACAGATAATGAATGTTTACAACGTTTCATATACAGTAAACTACGTTTATAACGAACACGCTTATAACGAACTGACGGATACAAAACGGGTCTTTTTGGTCCCGGCCATTTGCTGTATAGACGATGCATATATGCTTATTACAAACAGCGGTTATAACGAACTAAAATAAGCGGTCCCTTTGAGTTCGTTATAACCGTAGTTTACTGTATTGTTTGAAAATCAGTGTATGCATTGTTCACTTGCTTAATTTATGTTAACGAAGGTGTTTCCCAACGATAAAGGCTTGTTGGCTTAATGTACGGAACACCGCTGTGACCTAAAACACAAATGGTGATGCTAAACCATACATATGAAAACCTTTTGAAATAAAGTCACAGGAATTGCCTTTTTCATTCTTTGCATGTGTGGATACTCGAATGAGAATGAGAATGGGTGAGAATGGGTGCATACATCGACATAACACGTGTCAATAAGGTCAGACCATACATCGATATTCGTTAAAACGTTCACATATACCGTATTCGACGTAATAAGCGCCCAGGGCGCTCTCAAAATTAGAAATAGGGGGCTCTTATTAGAACATCATTTTGGTGAGAGAAAAAACAAGAGTTGAAACATAAATTTCGTGGTTTATACTGCCAGCCTGAAATGTTTATGTACGACAGATATATTTTTCCAGAATTTAATTGCCCATAATTAAGGGTGCATATAACACACGAGTACGTATTATACGCGAATAAATAAGTCTTGTGTACATTGATCAATCGGAAGAGGTGCTTATTGGGATTGTTCACTAGCCAATATCTAAGCAGATATTGCCATGGGAGCGTATAAGAGCGGGGCGCTTATTACGTCGAATACGGTAAACAAGTTCAGACACCGACGACCCGTGAAGATCCGGGTAGAGAATACGTCTTCAACAACCCATGCTTGCTGTAAGAGGCAACGTGTGGTCAGGCTCACTGACTTTGTTGATGCATGTGATTGATCCATATTGCGTAGATCGATGCTCATGATGCCAATCACATGATTGTCTGTTCCAGATTCGATTATTTTTTATAGCTGGAACATTGCTGAGTGCTGCGGTAAACAACAAACAAATCAGACACTCAAAACGTTGGTGTTGTACATGGATTACATGTGTCTTCTCTCTATGCATTGCCAACGACCAGCGTCCAGATGTGATTATGATCACATGATTTTATGTTTATAATTGGATAATGTGTATGTTCACTCGTGTCACTATTCTAGAAAACAGTTGTCAAATGTTGATAAAAGACGTCACTAGGCATTGTCTTTACACGTCAGATGGTTTTATGAATCTACTTGTTCAGCATGCTTTATAAGTGAGTGAGTGAGTTTGGTTTTAAGCCGCTTTTAGCAATATTCCAGCAATATCACGGTGTGTGTGGGTGGGGGGTGGAGGTGTGGGGGGTGGGGGGGTGGGGGCAGACATGGACTTCATACATTGTACCAATGTCGGGATTCGAAGCCGGGTCTTCGACGTGGCGAGCGAACGCTTTAACCTTTAGGCTACCCGACTGCCCCCATGCTTTACAAAGAGGGATGCACACACCCGCATCCTCCTTTGAATCCGTGTATGCTTTTCTGATGATGTTGTGACCGCCTCCGTGGTCTTGAGGTAGAGCGTCCGCCCGGAGAGCGGAAGGTCCAGGGTTCGATCCCGGGCCGCGTCATACAAAAAGACGTTAAAAGATTGTACTTGTTGTTACCCTGTCTGGCGCTCGGCATTAAGGGGCTAAAACAAGGACTGGTCGGCTCGGAGTCAGTATACTGTGTCTGAGTGGGGTATTCATGTTAAACTGCGGCATGGTATCTCAGTGAGCTAGCACTATAAATCGGCATCAGTCCGGACTAGTACAAGCAGCCACACACACATACACGTGCATGCACGTCGCTATATAAGTGCAATAATCTTGGACGCGACGTTAAACCCAATTTCACCTCACCTCTGATGATGTTGTCTGGACTTGCCAATTATGGTCAATGGGACAATACCAGCATTCCTGAAAACCAAGCAAGAGGCACGCGGCAAGGGTACGCGATGCGAATTGTCATGTAGCAGTAAATGCGCACGTAAAATCACTATCCTGGCTCATCATAGGGAAAACGTCGTTTTTCTATTCATGTTAAATTCACAGAATATCGGTAAACATACTCATTGTAAATAAATATTTATCAATATTATTGATATAAAAGAACACTGGCATACAAAAGACATATATGTTAAATCTAGTGATTGACATCATCAGCATAGATCTACGCAATTGGGAGACGATGACACGCATCGACCAAGTATCAAGGGTAAAGAGAGGCCAGATGGCATCTCACTAATTATCTAAATTGCTGCCCCTACTAATGCACTGGTCAGTGGAGAACCGTAGTCACCTTTGTCCCCTAGTCACGGCCACAGATGGGCCGACAGCGTGTCGCGTGGCGGACAATCGCCATGCCAAGACAATAATCAAAATAACCCATTATGATGAGGGTTGACCGGTGGTCAGGGGTCGGAGGGCGATTATCAGGCTATTAAGAGCCACCTCCTAAAAGGGACTGACCGGAGCCCCCGGGGTTAAGACCGATAGGAGACGGGGAACCCGAGTTGGAGATTAATAAGAATTATCATATTAATGACAAAGCCACTGACCAGATGCAGGGCGTTTGGAGACAAAGGATTTTAGCTGACGACCCTGGGTATATAAGTGACCAGACAAGAGGTCTGGGAGAGAGTTGAGACCTGGCCTACGATCGTAGCACGACAGCCATCGTCTAAATAAACAGTTGTGGACCCTCAGACGGACTTGTGTTGTTCATGCCGAAGTCATCACTTAGATCATCTTTCAACTAAGTGTGATACAAGTCAGCGAGCCTGACCACCCGATCCCGTTTGTCGCCTCTTACGACAAGCGTAGTCGCCTGGTGTTTTAATGTTAGCTGGATTACTTGAACATACGTACATTGGTTGCCAGCGTAACAGGTGCAATACAAGTAGGTAGGAAAGTGCAAGCAATTTATGACGTCAGCATTGCGTGGAGGGTGTAAATACAATAATTCAAGTAGCCCCAAAGAAGGTACGGTGGGGTAGTTTAGTGGGTAAAGCGTTCGCCCGGCCCGGGTTCGACGCCATAATTAAGATGTCGTGCATATAGCCTAGTGAGTAAGTGAGTGAGTGAGTGAGGTTTTACGCCGCTTTTAGCAATATTCCAGCAATATCACGGCGGGGGACACCAGAAATGGGCTTCACACATTGTACCCATGTCGGGAATCGAACCCGGGTCTTCGGCGTGACGAGCTAACGCTTTAACCACTAGGCTACCCGACCGCCCGCATATAGCCTAGACTTCTACGATTTGTTGTTGGATGATTTGAGATCTAAGCAAAAAATTATGATCACACTATTAGTAACCTTGGCTCAGTTTGTGCCGGGAATTTAGTTTAAGAAAGAATATTTTACACTCATACATATGTAGCTACAAAATACATTTCTTTTCTCTTAAAGGAACTTTTGGACCCACAACACCTTCTATTTTAGAAGACCCAGAACACCACCCAGTCACACAGATCTACACACGCGCGCGCGCACACACACACTCCGCTCGGACTGTTAAATATTCTGCACCTGACGAGTTTAACTTCTTTTTATTCTCATTATACAACACTGGGTTACAGAGTGTCTCCTTTAGGGCGGCTTTAGATGTGCCCTATGGCTACCTACTGCTGTGCAGCGACGAGCTGCTTCTTCTTGATGCTGTGCACCGCGTGCATCAAGATGCTCGTGCAGTCAGGCAAGATGATGATGAGCGCCGCTGTAACAAGCAGCATGATGGCCACCCCTCCTCCCACGTGCTGGGCGGACGGACGCTCATCTTCCGCACTGGACTTCTTCCTCCGATACGAGGAGAGGTTCTTCTTGTCCAGAGAGAGGTCATCAACCATGTCGTCTGTTCGCCTCTTTCTTTCTGCCGCGGTGAAAGTCTGTACCGACACACAGACCTCGTAGACATACCTACCAAGGGAGGCAACTGCCGGGGAAGAGGCAGATGTGGAACTGGCGAGAGTGGCTTCAAGACGAGACAGGTAGGTGGTGAGAGAAGGCGTGTAGGCTGCTCCGGTCGAATTACCTGAAGATGCAGCTATTGATGTATCTGGGGTAGATGTTGGAGTGTCAGTGTCTCTTGTAGCCGTGGTTGCAGTGGAAGGTATAGTCGTCGTTGTAGATGTAGTGGCGGTCGTTGCTGCAGATGAAGGTGTCGAGATTGAGAGATGGGTCGTTGGATCAGATCCTATGGCAACAGATGCTGTCGTTGATGACGTTCCAGGAGATGTCTGTTCTGTGCTAGCTACAGAGTCAGAGGTTGCTGTTGTTGTTGTAATGGGTGTCGTAGTTGTTGTCGCAGTGGCCGTTTCTGTATATCTGTATTCCGTCGTTGCAGCTGATGATGCGCTTGTTTGTGTTGAAGTTTGTGATACCGTTGTTGTTAATGACGATGTCGCTGTAGATGTAGTAGGTGTCATGGTGGTTGGAGTTACGCAAGAAGAAACAGGATACTCTGAGTCAACAATCTTTTCTTTTTTCCCCGTGATGTCCGTAACTGCAATAAAAACAGATTCAGCTGATCACGTGCTACAACTGAATCAGTAACTGATAATCACGTGCTACAACTGAATCCGTAAGTGATGATCACGTGCCACAACTGAATCTGTAACTGATGATCACGTGCTACAACTGAATCTTTTACTGATGACCACGTGCTACAACTGAATCACTAACTGATGATAACGTGCTACAATTGAATCGGTAACTTATTATAACGTGCCACAACTGAATCAGTAACTTATGAACACGTGCTACAGCTGAATCTGTAACTAATATTCACGTTCTACAACTGAATCTGTAACTGATGATCAAGTGCTACAACTGAATCTGTAACTAATGATCACGTGCCACAACTGAATCACTAACTGATGACCACGTTCAACAACTGAATCTGTAACTAATGATCACGCGCTACAACTGAATCTGTGATTAATGATCACATGCTACAACTGAATCTTTTACTAATGATCACGTGCCACAACTGAATCTGTAACTAATAATCACGTGTAACAACTTAATCTTTAACTCATGATCACTTGCTACAACTGAATCTGTAACTTATGATCACGTGCAACAACTGAATCTTTAACTCATGATCACGTGCTACACCTGAATCTGTAACTGATGATCATGTGCTACAACTGAATCAGTAACTGATGATCACGTGCTACAACTGAATCTGTAACTGATGATGACGTGCTAAAACTGAATCAATAACTGATGATCACGTGCTACAACTTAATCTGTAACTTATGATTACGTGCTACAACTGAATCTGTAACTGATGATCACGTGCTTCAAGTGAATCACTAACTGATGATCACGTGCTACAACTGAATCTGTAACTGATGATGACGTGCTAAAACTGAATCAATAACTGATGATCACGTTCTACAACTGAATCTGTAACTGATGATCACGTGCTTCAAGTGAATCACTAACTGATGATCACGTGCTACAACTGAATCAGTAAATGATGACCACGTGCCACAACTGCATTATTAACTAATGACCACTTGCTACAACTGCATTTTTAACTAATGGCCACGTACTGCAACTGCATTATTAACTAAAGACGACGTGCCACTATTATGGACTTAAAACCACGTGCTGTAACTGCATTATTAACTAATGACCACGTGCTGCAACTGCATTATGAACTAATGACCACGTGCTGCAACTGCATTTTACTAGTGGCACGTGGTCATTTGTAATCAATTACTTTCATAACTAATTCAGCACATATTGTTTCTCCACCTGGATGTGTGAATCGAAAATCCAAGATGCAAACTTTTGTAGGATTATAAACTGAAACAAATTAAAAACTAATGACCACGTGCTGCAACTGCATTTTAACAAATGACCACGTGCCACTATTGCATAATTAACTAATGATGACGTGCTACAACTGAATCAGTAACTGATGATCACGTGCTACAACGGAATCAATAACTGATGATCACGTTCTACAACTGAATCAGTAACTGATGATGACGTTCTACAACTGAATCAGTAACTGATGATCACGTGCTACAACTGAATCAGTAACTGATGATCACGTGCTACAACTGAATCAATAACTGATGATCACGTGCTACAACTGAATCAGTAACTGATGAACACGTGCTACAACTGAATCAATAACTGATGATCACGTGCTACAACTGAATCAATAACTGATGATCACGTGCTACAACTGAATTAGTAACTTATGATCACGTGGAAACTAGTGTGACCTAGTTGATACGTGTCATTTTTAGTGTGTAATGTTTTTCCGTCAGCTTGGACTGATTAGCGCTCACCCTGTCAATCGAAATTGTTGACAGATTGTCAGATGAGGACCCACTGAACATATCTAGTGACCTTTCGACCTATTAACAGCAGAATCCTGTAACCCAGGATGAGATCTTGGTCCATCACTTTGATCCAGCGTGGAGGCATCAGAGCAGAGCAAACATATGTAACATTTGGCCGCATACCACCAAAGACGTACAAGCGGGGGCATCATTTGGCAAAGTCATGGTTTGGGGTTTATGAAACAACAAGGGGATATTCATGATTCACTATCTGCAACGAGGTCAGAATTTCAATGGGAAATGATATGCCACAGAAATACGCCAGCTTTAAGAATTTACGAGGAAAAACGTCGGTGAAAGCTCCCCGATTCACTGATTCATAACAATGCGCATGCGCATTCGTCACACGTGGCAGTGGCTTCAACTGCAGACTGAAGCCTCAAGTTTCTTACTCTTGGCCCTGACCCGCATCCTCTGAAGTTGATCTCTTCCCTGACTCTCGTGGTTGAGTATTTACAAGTAACGACGAGGTCATTGCCGACGTCGATGCCGTTTCGGGGGCATGACAAATAGGGCTATAGGGCATGGATAACACAGCTGGTTTATAGCTGGACCAGTTGTATTGAAGTCAAAGTATATTATTTTGAAAATATCACGTTATGTTTCTAGGTTTGTCCCCACCATAGCTGTGCTGGTGGGTTTCAACAAAATGGTAAACGTCTAAGACCTGCATCACTTAGGACTTTCTTCTTCCAGCTGATACGCCGTCACATAACTGTGATATTGTTCAAAACAGCGTTAATTGACTCACCAGTCCAGTATGCAGCCTAAAGTTGGTCAATTTAGGTGATCCCCCATCTAAGCCAATGAGTGAGTATGGTTTTACGCCGCTTTAAGCAATATTCCAGCATTATCACGGTGGGGGACACCAGAAATCGGCTTTACACATTGTACCCATGTCGGGAATCGAACCCGGGTCTTCAGCGCGACGAGCGAACGCTTTAACCACAAGGCTACCCGACCGCCCCTTCTAAACCAATGATCGATAGACTGAGCGTCATGCATGTATCAGGTGAGTCACGAAGTCACTAGGTCACAGCCCAAACTGACCACGGAATGTTTGAATGGTAGTTGTATTTCTAGCATAGAGGGCAACTTACACACAAAACAGTTCCTGGATCCCGAATCGGTGTCATCATCGCGGACCTGTGCTTCACAGGCGTATGGACTGGCGGAGAAGATTAACGTGCATGCCCTTGTTGACTTGACAAACTCGAACGCCCAGCACAAGTCGGAGCCATTGGTGTCCACGCTGCATCGGTCCCGGCATTCACCGTGACTTAGTTGTCCCTCTAACACTACTCTTCTTCCTTTGGTATCACAAATTTTTTTCTTGTGGTCGGTGTAGGAACAATCACCTGAAAACAACAGAACACGTTTAGAATGAGAGCGAATTGGGGTTTACGCTGCTTTGAACACTATTCCATATCACGGCGTGTCAGAGTAATGTGGGAGGAAAGCCCGAAGTGATGCATGTCTCAGACATTTACCACTAGGGCTGGGACGAGTCCAAATTTACTACCCGGGTACCCACCACCCTATTTCCCGACCCTACCCGTGAAGGTCTCAAGAGATAGGTACAAAATGTCTGATTGGGAATAGTTTGACCCTAACCCTGGACAAAATGTATTAAGATACATATACAGTTGTAGATCATTTTTGTCATTAAACAATATATCACAGGTCCGGGTAGTCCTGAGGGTACCCGGGTACTTCTCAGTACCCACCCGAACGGTGTATCCCGAGTTATCCGCCCCAGCCCTATTTACCACTTTGGTGAAACCCACGGACACGGGTATGGTGGTGACAAACCTAAAAACTTAATCGGGGCAAACCAGGATTTGGACAAAATATCATAGGTTTCAATGAGACGCAACACGTCTGGACCCTTGAAGCAAAGCTTCGTGTCGGAGTGACGGCCACATCTCAATTACTTTCATAACTAATTCAGCACATATTGTTTCTCCACCTAGGTGTGTGAATCGAAAATCCGAGATGCAAACTTTTGTAGGATTATAGTTTTCACATCGGGGTTCGATTTATACCTCCTGGAACGGGAAAATAATTCAATCCTTAAAAGTTTGAATTTTGACCTTCTTTTTAAACCTGTCGATCATACCAACTATTCCTTCAGTCACAAATTCAACAATTAGCATGCACATGCTAGCTGATAATGAACTAATATTTCAAATTATTGTCTGAATATTTTTTTAATTTCTGAATTATAATACTAAATTAGCTGGCCTTGAATGAATACACTACAGATGAACTAACATCTTTGGCACACATGTTCCCCAGAAGTCCGTCCTTGTGTTTGAACCAACTAAAGGGGAGGTGAGGTAGCCTCGTGATTAAAGCGCTCGCGCGTCACGCCGAAGGCCCGGGTTCGATTCAGCTGTGCACTCTGTGAAGCCCATTTCTGGTGTCCCCTGCTGTGATATTGCTGGAATATTGCTAAAAGCGGCGTAAAACCTTACTTACTCACTCAATGAACCAAACTCAACTCTGCGCTCACCATGAATATGCCGGCTGGCATGCAGATATATGCTCATGCTATCAACACCATGTTTGCCTGACCCAGAACTGATGAATTATTTACATTTGGTAAAGCTGGGCAGACTATTCTGTGGCGTTAGCATTCACACGCTCTCTAAAATCGTACCGTTTATTCTCCGGCAGACAAACAGGAACGTAGAGTTGCATGCACGTGTGCGCGGAATGAGAGCTACCTTGTCGGCCGTGACGCACCTGGACACGGTCGGGTCACTTGGCTCGTTCTCCGGCCACGCTAAGGCAACATTCAAGGGATGACATCCTGACCAGACGAACTCCCATCCGGTCACTGACTGGACGTAGTGAAGTCCCGTCCACATGTTACCCTCCCTGAAATTAATAAAACACAAAACGTGTTGGGAGCTTCCGATGTTTTTCGTTCACTACATCTTCCCGAGGCAAACGTGTTCACTAGCCTATATCAAAGCCTAGCTTCTACCCTTGCCACATCCAGACCAATTTTCTTGGCACGACTTTTGCGCCACCACGCGTAGATCACGGGTTGTGCCCCTTGTAATGAAAACGCGATATCCAATCAGATCGCTGTTCTTATCTCGTATGGATTCGCGACTTCATCCCTGACAAACAAACACAGGCAATCGCTGAGATGAAAAAGACATATTCCTGTCAACAAAGACAGGTAGCGGTAAATCAATATCGTACGAATATGAACCAGTCGTGGATGTTGATTTTGTGATTTTGTGAAACGTTCTTTGATTGGACTATCGACATGTGCGATAGTCCAATCATATTTAGCACAGGTAAGTGGGCTTGATGTGGTAAGGGTGGAAATAGGACTTTGATAAAAGACTAGTGGACGCGCATGCCTCGGGAAGATGCGTTCACTACGAATTAGTTGCGCAGAGTTGGGCAGATAGGCCAGAAGTTTGTGATCGTGGGTTCCAAACCAAAATTCACCCTGGTTATGGCGCATCAACACCATACCGTCATGATGGTTTCATCTCAAGCCCGAAGTGATGCAGGTCTCAAACGTTTACCATTTCGGTGAAACCCACTAGCACGGGTCTGGTGCTGACAAACCTAGAAACATAATCGGGGCGAACCGGGATTCGAACCCACAATCATAGGTTTCTGGCGTGCCTAAGGGACGCAACTCTGCACAGCGAATCGCGGCGCCTTAGACGACTGGGCCACCCGTGCCCCCTATAACTGTTCAGACAACCGAACCCACCTGATATCAAGAATTTTCATCCATGCGAGGGACGGTCGGGTAGCCCAGTGGTTAAAGCGTTCGCTCGTCACACCGAAGACCCGGGTTCGATTCCCGACATTGGTACAATGTGTGAAGCCATTTCTGGTGTCCCCCGCCGTAATATTGCTGGAATATTACTAAAAGCGGCGTAAAACCATACTCACTCACTCACTCACCCATGCGGCCATCTTGGATTTCTAAACTAGCTAAATGGTCATGGGTGGTTCAAAGAAATATAATTGTTTAAATTGGCTGATTTGAAAGTTCACCTGACATGACCTTCTATGAAGGCTTCCTCAGTTCTTCACACAGAGGACCTCATTTCTTCACACAGAGGACCTCAGTTCTACACACAGAGAGGACCTCAGTTCTTCACACAGAGGACCTCAGTTCTACACACAGAGAAGACCTCAGTTCTTCACACAGAGAGGACCTCAGTTCTTCACACAGAGGACCTCAGTTCTTCACACACAGAGGACCTCAGTTATTCACACAGAGAGGACCTCAGTTCTTCACACAGAGGACCTTAGTTTTTCACACAGAGAGGACCTCAGTTCTCCACACAGGGAGGACCTCTGTTCTTCACACAGGGAGGACATCAGTTCTTCACACAGAGGACCTCAGTCGTACACACAGGGAGGACCACAGTTCTTCACACACAGAGGACCTCAGTTCTTCACACAGGGAGGACCTCGGTTCTTCACACAAGGAGAACCTCATTTCTTCACACAGAGAGGACCTCAGTTCTTCACACACAGAGGACCTCCCTTTCATCACACACAGAGGACCTCAGTTCTTCACACACAGAGGACCTCAGTTCTTCACACAGAGAGGACCTCAGTTCTTCACACACAGAGGACCTCAGTTTTTCACACAGAGAGGAATCATGTATTCCAGTTACAGATCTAATAACAATGACTTTGAACTCATCATTTTGAAATACAGAAATCAGACATGCAGGTCGCTCCATTCTGATTCATGGAGATTCTATTGCGTAACAACCGTACGACGTGTCCGTGGGTGACGATGATAACAAGGCCTCGCTCTTCAATGCTGAACAAGGAAATGGTGATAGGTAGCCTCGTGGTTAAAGTGTACGCTTCGTCACGCCAAAACACAGAGTTTGACCCCCCGTAAGGCTACATTGTGTGATTCTTTACAAACGGTGTGTACTCACTCACTCACTCACTCACTCACTCACTCACTCACTCACTCACTTTATCATAGCACCAATGACTTACATTGCAGTCGCATCAGCTGTTGCAAAGAAATGAAGGAGGGCGTTGTTTCTGACACTGTTCTTGAGATTTATGAGATGACTACTTGAATGTTCCTTGCAGGTGGCCCAGGCAGTGCTCCATGACACCTTATTGGAGCTGTACAGGAATTCAACCTCCCGGTAGCTGGGAGTGATTTTACCGTCCACTGAAAAACATCGTTTCAATCATGAAAGAAGTATTTGAGCAGATAGATATCCTGCCAAACATTTATGTTTGTTTGTGTGTTCTTTAACCCCGCAATCAGCAATATTCAAGGTATATGACGGCGGTCTGTACATAAATGAGTCTGGACCAGACAAGCCAGTGATTGACATCGATCCACGCAATTGGGATACGATGAAATGCATCAACCAAGTCAGCGAGCCTGATCACCCGATCCCGTAAGTCGCCTCTTACGACAAGCATGGGTGGTTGAAGACATATTCTCTACCCAGATCTTCACGGGTTCCAAACAATATGTAATACACCACCACTTTCAGTATATTTAAGAAGTGTCATCAAAAATATCGCCAGGGTTCTGAGTTTTGGAAATGGAAATTAATGAAATCACGGAGAGTATAAGGAATATTTTTCGAAAAATAAGATTAGCACATGTGAATATTAGAAAATGTGTCTTATTGTTTCGTAACATTGTTGAATAGGTTTTAAAGATTATTAAAATATCAATAAAAGTTTCGCCTTGAATGTATTTTCCCAACTTTGTATTTGAGTGTGTGCCAGAGATTATCGCTAAACGCCGCATCACCAATCTTGCATCTTTTCGCGGCGCCACGAATGCCTCTTTCAGAAACACACCACTTTATGGACACAGACGCGTGACCTCACAGCTTGGTACAGAGCATCACACAGATTGACGCTCAGACCTATTGACGGCGGGGCATTGCTTCAACACGCGGGTTCAAGACCGGGTTCAGTTCCCTAAGTGTACACCGTATGAATCCATTTTTGGTGTGCGCCGTAGTGATGTTGCTGGAAAAGTGCTATCATCACGTCAACTTAATTTAAGAGATTAATTTTCCTGTGGATGAGTTAGTGAGTTGGGATTAAGGCCGCTGATAACATTATTTCAGTTATATCAGTTAAATGTATTAAGGAAGCCCACATCGGCGCAGGTCGTATGTTGTATGATGCTAATAGACCAAGGTTCATCGGATATTCGAACCACATTCAGCAGATCCTGGCAAAGCTAAGGAATGCAACTTTTCACAATGAAGTAAGTCGCCTCCGATTGTTGCACTGTTCCAGTGAAGGGGTTGGTGGCTAATATTAGATTGTGCAGGTTGGTTTGTCGGTTGTTTGTTGTTTAACGCCGCACTCGGCAATATTCCAGCTATATGACGGCGGTCTTTAAAAAATCGAGTCTGGACCAGACAAGCATAGTCGCCTTTTACGGGAAGCATGGGTTGCTGAAGACCTATTCTACCCCGGATCTTCACGGGTCAGGTCGTGCAGGAGAATGCAAACCAACCAACAGATAATGGTCTCCAAAACCAGGCAAACTGACATGATCAAGATGAGATACGTCGATTTAGTCGTTGAAGGAATTCTGTACGGTATAGAATCTTAGAAGGGACATTGTCGCTTGTCGCATAACACTCTTTTACACAAAATATTTTGAAGAAACAGGAAGGATCATCAAGACATATCTTCTGATCTATATGGGATTGCGAATGGAAATGATATGTTCATATCTGCTTTGGAGTAGGCGATCAGATCTAATGGGTTCTGATGGTTGGTTTGATGAGAAGTGGGGCATAGGTCGTTAAAGAAGTCGGTGTCAAGTTCGAAATTTGAATTTTGCAGCCAACGTCACTTATATCTGGTAAAACCACCTCTGTTGACCAGACATGCACGAATTCTTCGAGGCAAACTTCTGAAGAGTCGACCAATGTCAGCTTGACACATGTTGTTCCACTCATCAGTGAGACAGCACCGAGTTCATTGCGGGTGATGGGTGGTTTTGACGTTGACGTACACGTCTGCCAATGACGTCCTATACATGTTCGAAGGGGGAAATGTCAGGACAGTGCTGGCCATGGCATGACATGGATGTTTTCCTGTTGGAGGAATTGGGTCACAATCCTGGCACGACGAGCACGTGCATAATCATCTTCAAAGATGAAACGTTGCCCAACACGTTGTGTAAATGGCACCAAGTGTGGTGCAATGATGATGTTCCGATAGTGTCGCCATGTGATTCTGTCAAGTCATTGTGATACCGCACCATACCCTTATGGACCGACCCCCAAAACAATCATGCTGTTCAAGGTCTATCATACACTCTTTAGGGCGTCTCCAAACTCGAATCCTTCGGTCATGGAGACGCCTCCGTGGTCCAGTGGTAGAGCGTCCGCCCGGAGAGCGGAAGGTCCGGGGTTCGATCCCCGGCCGCGTCATACCAAAAGACGTTAAAAGATGGTACTTGTTGTTACCCTGTCTGGCGCTCGGCATTAAGGGGCTAAAACAAGGACTGGTCGGCTCGGAGTCAGTATACTGTGTCTGAGTGGGATATTCATGTTAAACTGCGGCATGGTATCTCAGTGAGCTAGCACTATCAATCGGCATCAGTCCGGACTATCACAAGCAGCCACACACACACACACACGTGCATGCACGTCGCTATATAAGTGCAATAATCTTGGACGCGACGTTAAAACCAATTTCACCTCACCTCACCTACCTCCTTCGGTCATGGAGACCGAGAGTGAACATAAGCCCGACGTCGATTATCCTAATGCCGACGTTACCTACACCTCTCCTCCGATTCAAATGACGTGCATTAAGTTGAGGGATGACACGTGGACGTCGTGCACGCAAATGGTATCTGTCGCGCCGTCTGGACATGTACTTCTACACCAGTTCCCTATTGCAACCGGTCCCTATGTGAGTGGCAGTTTGCAACGGATTTTTTAATGTCATCGTTCTAACTAATCTGTCATGGGCTGGAGTTGTTGCCCTTTGGCGTCCAGAGCGGCGTCGATCATCGACGTTATGTGATCGTTGGTATCGGGCCCACAATCTGCTGAAGGGAGATTGAGAAAGATGCAGTGTTTGGGCAACAATATTCTGCCTATGGAACGTATGCGAGAGTCGGAAGCTCAATGATGTTGCTTCCTTAATGGTTAGATGTATATTTAATATAGTATCTTTAGGCGTCTGAGTGACAATGGTAAATCTGGCATACCACTCTGTGCACGTGCTGTTCTGAGTCACGTGTTTCATGACTGTCACAGTGTTGTGTTTGGGAAGTTGATTTCTTCGGAAATGTTTGCCACGTAAATCACTTACTTTCATTGCTAGACATTGGTGTATCTTCCAGTAGTTTCACCTACAAACAAAATATTCCCTACCTTTTTTGTATAGGATATATGCTGAAATAACTCGATTTTTTCTAACCTGGTTGTTATATAGAGAATCTCACCCTCGTGTCTTTTGATATCAAATATATCAACATGAGTTGATAAAAGTGGGAAAAATCCGAGGCTTGCCGAGGATTTTTGCCACTTTTATCAACGAGTGTTGATATATTTGATATCAAAAGACACGAGGGTGAGATTTTATTTATCATCCAACATCATTCTTTCAACTTTTTCAATTTGTAGACAGTAATTAGCAGTGTCTTCAGTGTAAAATGTAGTGCTAACAGCTTCTATAGCAGAGCCATTAGTGATGTCATTTGATTGTGACGTCATGGTAACCAGTGACGTCACAATGGCCTGCAAAGCATTGTGATGTAATTTCATTGCAGCGATATCTACAGTGTAGATATCGCTTGATCTCATCCAAGCGATCTCTCCTGTGGGAGCCAGTTTTAGATGATAAATGTTTGTACATCAAGTTAAGTGCCTTTAACCTCGATTGCTTGAAGTTGTTCATTGTGTAAAAAGCAATCCTCACAAAATACATCCAAAACGAATCAGTAAAAATGCATGAAAGCAATAACTTACCTGACGATATTGATACAGACGACCACACAACCAGCAACACTAACACACTCATCTGAAAATGGTAAATGGAGTATTTCTGAATTACAGATTTCAAAAGTTGAAGAACGAATATTTTACAAAACAAAAACCTTTTATGAAAAAGGTGGGAGAAGACATCAGCTTTCTGTTGTCTGGGTAAAGTGTGAAAAAGAAAGAAGATTGATTCTGTGTAAAATAATAGATTGATGGCAAGGGGAATATCAACAACATACAAACCAGCCAAGGCAGACATTGTCACCAGGCGATCGACGTCCTCATTTTAGTAGGCCCCTCGGACGACATCTTACCCTGATGGTGCCTACATTCTCAACGTCCAGATACGGTACACTGGTTTAAATAGTGTAGTCAAAATGAGAAAGAACCGCCTCCGTGGTCTAGTGGTAGAGCGTCCGCCCAGAGAGCGGAAGGTCCGGGGTTTGATCCCCGGCCGCGTCATACCAAAACACGTTAAAAGATGGTACTTGTTGTTACCCTGTCTGGCGCTCGGCATTAAAGGGCTAAAATAAGGACTGGTCGGCTCGGAGTCAGTATACTGTGTCTGAGTGGGGTATCAATGTTAAACTGCGGCATGATATCTTAGTGTGCTAGCACTATAAATCGGCATCAGTCCGGACTAGTACAAGCAGCCACACAAACACGCACATGCACGTCGCTATACAAGCGCAATAATCTTGGACGTGATGTTAAACCCACCTCACCTCACCTCACCTCACCTCAACTCACCTCACCTCACCTCACCTCACCTCAGAATGAGAAAAACACATTAATGGTACCACCTGGTTAACCTGTGATAATAAAATGGAGTGGTCGACTTGTCTTATCATATCATTTCACTATTCCCTTAAGTATTCCTCTTTGCTCATGTTTATTATTGAATGAAACATTTACTTTATCAATTACTTCCCTTAGTCAATGAAGTATATACTCTTTTCTCCACACTGTATTACTAAAACATACATTAGCACAATTTCCCAGTAGAATACTTCACATCTCAAGCTCGTGGCCAATAAGTGCTGTGTTGCGGTTTAAGGTATCGTCTAAATAACAGTACCCACTGCGACACGTTGTAAGTGTGTGTTTTATGACCGAGGCGGAAAGCTAGGCACAATGAGACTGTAGGCACAATGAGACAAGGCATAATGATACTGTAGGCACAATGGTATTGTAGGCACAATGATACTGTAGGCACAATGATACTGTAGGCACAATGAGACTGTAGGCACAATGAGACTGTAGGCACAATGAGACAAGGCACAATGATACTGTAGGCACAATGAGACTGTAGGCACAATGATTCAGTAGGCACAATGAGACAAGGCACAATGATACTGTAGGCACAATGAGACAAGGCACAATGATACTGTAGGCACAATGATACTGTAGTCACAATGATACTGTAGGCACAATGGGACAAGGCACAATGATACTGTAGGCACAATAAGACAAGGCACAATGAAACTGTAGGCACAATGATACTGTAGGCACAATGATACTGTAGGCACAATGAGACTGTAGGCACAATGAGACTGTAGGCACAATGAGACAAGGCACAATGATACTGTAGGCACAATGAGACTGTAGGCACAATGATTCAGTAGGCACAATGAGACAAGGCACAATGATACTGTAGGCACAATGAGACAAGGCACAATGATACTGTAGGCACAATGATACTGTAGTCACAATGATACTGTAGGCACAATGGGACAAGGCACAATGATACTGTAGGCACAATAAGACAAGGCACAATGAAACTGTAGGCACAATGAGACTGTAGGCACAATGATACAGTAGGCACAATGAGACTGTAGGCACAATGATACTGTAGGCACAATGAGACAAGGCACAATGATACTGTAGGCACAATGAGACAAGGCACAATGATACTGTAGGCACAATGAGACTAGGCACAATGATACTGTAGGCACAATGAGACTAGGCACAATGAGACTAGGCACAATGATACTGTAGGCACAATGATACTGTAGGCACAATGATACTGTAGGCACAATGATACTGTAGGCACAATGAGACTGTAGGCACAATGAGACTGTAGGCACAATGATACTGTAGGCACAATGAGACTGTAGGCACAATGATTCAGTAGGCACAATGAGACAAGGCACAATGATACTGTAGGCACAATGAGACAAGGCACAATGATACTGTAGGCACAATGATACTGTAGGCACAATGATACTGTAGGCACAATGGGACAAGGCACAATGATACTGTAGGCACAATAAGACAAGGCACAATGAAACTGTAGGCACAATGATACTGTAGGCACAATGAGACTGTAGGCACAATGAGACAAGGCACAATGATACTGTAGGCACAATGAGACTGTAGGCACAATGATTCAGTAGGCACAATGAGACAAGGCACAATGATACTGTAGGCACAATGAGACAAGGCACAATGATACTGTAGGCACAATGATACTGTAGTCACAATGATACTGTAGGCACAATGGGACAAGGCACAATGATACTGTAGGCACAATAAGACAAGGCACAATGAAACTGTAGGCACAATGAGACTGTAGGCACAATGATACAGTAGGCACAATGAGACTGTAGGCACAATGATACTGTAGGCACAATGAGACAAGGCACAATGATACTGTAGGCACAATGAGACAAGGCACAATGATACTGTAGGCACAATGAGACTAGGCACAATGATACTGTAGGCACAATGAGACTAGGCACAATGAGACTAGGCACAATGATACTGTAGGCACAATGATACTGTAGGCACAATGATACTGTAGGCACAATGATACTGTAGGCACAATGAGACTGTAGGCACAATGAGACTGTAGGCACAATGAGACTGTAGGCACAATGAGACTGTAGGCACAATGAGACTGTAGGCACAATGATACTGTAGGCACAATGATACTGTAGGCACAATGATACTGTAGGCACAATGAGACTGTAGGTACAATGATACTGTAGGCACAATGAGACAAGGCACAATGATACTGTAGGCACAATGATACTGTAGGCACAATGAGACAAGGCACAATGATACTGTAGGCACAATGATACTGTAGGCACAATGATAATGTAGGCACAATGAGACTGTAGGCACAATGAGACTGTAGGCACAATGATACTGTAGGCACAATGATACTGTAGGCACAATGAGACTGTAGGCACAATGATTCAGTAGGCACAATGAGACAAGGCACAATGATACTGTAGGCACAATGAGACAAGGCACAATGATACTGTAGGCACAATGATACTGTAGTCACAATGATACTGTAGGCACAATGGGACAAGGCACAATGATACTGTAGGCACAATAAGACAAGGCACAATGAAACTGTAGGCACAATGATACTGTAGGCACAATGAGACTGTAGGCACAATGAGACAAGGCACAATGATACTGTAGGCACAATGATACTGTAGTCACAATGATTCAGTAGGCACAATGAGACAAGGCACAATGATACTGTAGGCACAATGAGACAAGGCACAATGATACTGTAGGCACAATGATACTGTAGTCACAATGATACTGTAGGCACAATGGGACAAGGCACAATGATACTGTAGGCACAATAAGACAAGGCACAATGAAACTGTAGGCACAATGAGACTGTAGGCACAATGATACAGTAGGCACAATGATACTGTAGGCACAATGATACTGTAGGCACAATGAGACAAGGCACAATGATACTGTAGGCACAATGAGACAAGGCACAATGAGACAAGGCACAATGATACTGTAGGCACAATGAGACTAGGCACAATAAGACTAGGCACAATGATACTGTAGGCACAATGATACTGTAGGCACAATGATACTGTAGGCACAATGAGACTGTAGGTACAATGATACTGTAGGCACAATGAGACAAGGCACAATGATACTGTAGGCACAATGATACTGTAGGCACAATGAGACTGTCGGCACAATGAGACTGTAGGCACAATGATACTGTAGGCACAATGATACTATAGGCACAATGAGACAGTAGGCACAATGATACTGTAGGCACAATGATACTGTAGGCACAATGATACTGTAGGCACAATGATACTATAGGCACAATGATACTGTAGGCACAATGATACTGTAGTCACAATGAGACTGTAGGCACAATGACACTAGGCACAATGATACTAGGCACAATGAGACTGTAGGCACAATGAGACTGTAGGCACAATGACACTAGGCACAATGAGACTGTAGGCACAATGAGACTAGGCACAATGAGAATGTAGTCACAATGATACTGTAGGCACAATGAGACAAGGCACAATGATACTGTAGGAACAATGAGACTGTAGGCACAATACGACAGTAGGCACAATGTGACTAGGCACAATGAGACTGTAGGTACAATGAGACTGTAGGCACAATGGGACTTGACACAATGCGACAGTAGGCACAATGAGACTGTAGACACAATGCGACAGTAGGCACAATGAGACTAGGCACAATGAGACTAGGCACAATGAGACTGTAGGTACAATGAGACTGTAGGCACAATGAGACTAGACACAATGAGACTGTAGGTACAATGATACTGTAGGCACAATGAGACAAGGCACAATGATACTGTAGGCACAATGATACTGTAGGCACAATGAGACTGTCGGCACAATGAGACTGTAGGCACAATGATACTGTAGGCACAATGATACTATAGGCACAATGAGACAGTAGGCACAATGATACTGTAGGCACAATGATACTGTAGGCACAATGATACTGTAGGCACAATGATACTATAGGCACAATGATACTGTAGGCACAATGATACTGTAGTCACAATGAGACTGTAGGCACAATGACACTAGGCACAATGAGACTAGGCACAATGAGACTGTAGGCACAATGAGACTGTAGGCACAATGACACTAGGCACAATGAGACTGTAGGCACAATGAGACTAGGCACAATGAGAATGTAGTCACAATGATACTGTAGGCACAATGAGACAAGGCACAATGATACTGTAGGAACAATGAGACTGTAGGCACAATA